TGAGAACATCCTTAATGAAGCTTCTTTAAGAATAACTGACACCCTGCTCTTGTAAGGAATCATAAGTATCCTTCTACCTTTTTGTCTAGGTATGTGTATGAAACTCCAACATCATAAATACGTAAGACAGATAGCGGTTGTATTAGACCTTTTTCAACTAAAATCATGCTTTACTTTTGCCAGTGTTGGTTTCCAAGAAGTATAATTATTAACATAATCCCCACAATAACTTTTATATTTAAAGCATATTGCTTTTTCCTCCAAACCTTATTGTTTATGTAATACAATAACCACATGCACATAATAGTGTAGCCATCAACACAAGTGTTGCGCCTATCACAAAATCTAAAGGATTATTGGCTGTAGTGCAGAGTTAAAAGAAAGCTTTCAGGGGTTGGTAGAGAATTGCAAATATCTTATCGGAAATTATTGATCCAAGGGAGTTCCTACAAACTTGCCCCAATTCCCTTGTTGCGTTTCTTAGCAGATGTTTAAAACCTGTGTGAATTCTTGGTAGATGAGATTTCTTGGCTGGAGAAAACATTCAGATATATTGAATGAAGAGTTTAAACTTGAAGTCCACGCCACCCGTGGCTACTGAAGTTCCATTGCAGTTTTGGCAAGAGAAGATGTGATAGCCATAGTCTTGCTCTGATTCCAGTTTGGGTAGTTTTATTCTGCCTACCCAAATTCCACCTGTAGTTTCATTTGGATAACATTCTCATTCACGGCTACTTACCCTAACCTGTTTTTGTAGCCTTGCTGTGTGGTGTTACTTAGCAGCCACATTACATTTTAGAGGTCACTGAATATCAGTGGTGGGTGAAGTGATCCCTGTGTAGTATATATGATGTGTAAACTGTGAGACACATCAGGATCTGGTGTGCATGAAAGGCACTGTAGGAGTGTGAAGTTCTTATTTGCTGTTTCAGTGCATTTTTCCTGCTGAAGACTGGCTAATTACCAAAGTGATTTCTTTTCATAGGAGAATTTGCTCTTTCAAAGCCCATTATCTGCTTCTATTTTTTACTTTTAAAATACTGGTGTCAATTCAGTGCTTATTTAAGATGAAAAAGCCTTGGAGACTGAAGTCTTTTATTTATCCACTGAGCAGGTACAGCATGTGTAGCAACCAGTGGCAGATTAACAAGACCCTCTGTACATGAAGATCCAGGCTCCCAATACCTCCGGAGGGCTTCTGAGTTCTACCTGCTGGGTTTGGGATCAGCCTATAAACTCACAAACACTAATCCCACCCTGTACTCTTTTGGGAGAAAGTAGAAAGCAGGGGAGGGGAGGGAGCTTTGCTTCTGAATATGCAGCCATGCAGAAAGTAAGCCTGTCAAACCTATTGTCACTGCTTTGCAATCTACTGAGCAACCTTCTTTCTATCATTTCCTTTTAATTTTCATAAAGTAGTGGAGCACTAGTGAGGGGATCACTCAGTAATAATCCCCTAAACCATCCAGCCATCATCTCCTATGTGACCCTGCAGTAAAGATAAAGGGCCAAATTCTGTCCTGTGTTACATTTGTGCATACAACTGGCAACAGCAGAGAATCTACTCTGGTTCACCATTGCTATTCAGAACTGCGGGCAATGGTGAAACTGACAAGGCATGTCAATTTTACTCTGTGATACACTGAGACAGAAGATGTTTTCTGTACTGTGATTCAGATAAAATATACTTTTTTATGCAGCAGGGATTTTAATACAGTTGAAATTACTCCCTTGTGTTGACTTCATTCCTCAGTGTCAGAAGAGTTACAGCCCCCTGCATTAATATTAAAGTGTTTGGAATTCACGCTTCAGAAAATTCAAATGTTTGTCATCTGTTAATGAAAATCATGTTGGTTGTCGCTCTGCAAGGAATTAGAAGCACAGGGACTGATCCTCAACTGGTGTAAATCTGCATCACTCCATTGACTTTAGTGGCCTCTGAGTGATTTATACGAGCAGAGAATCTGGCCCATGGTATTAACTAATTAAAAAAATGTTTGACTTTAATTTAGAATCGGTGATGTTAGGATGTGATGTTTATATAGAGTGAATGAAGACTGTCCATGCGGTTGGATGTACATATCTGTAGATCTACTTTACAAGTTATAGGGAACTTGGGAGCTCACTTTCTCTGGGTTATAGCAAGGCCATCTCCAATACAGCCAGAAACCAAAGTCTCAGGGGAGGTGTGTACATGTAATGTTGTAAATTTTATTAAGGCAGTTTCATATCAAGGTAAGTCCTTAAATTTGAGAAGTCACAAATGGGAAAAAACCTGCTATCCCAATTAGTGCATCCCCTGCAATTGCAGGATATGGTCCCCAGAGAAAAGACAATATCCCAGATTTTAGCCAGGGGTATGTCTGCGCTGCAATCTGAGGTGTGATTGCAGCATGGGTAGACACACCCGTTCTAGCATGGCCAAAAACAGCAGCGTCAATGTGGTAGCAAGGGCTGAGCCAGCACCCCAGAGATGCTAGATACATACTTGCATTGCTAGTCCACACTGAAGCCTGTCCTGCTATGTCTACACTGTTATTTTTAGCTGCGCTAGCACAGGTAAAGCTAGTGTCGGTACATCTATCAGGACTGCAGTCATACCTGAGATTGCAGTGTCAACATTCCCCAAGAAGCCAGGCCAGCGTAATACATATGTAATTACACAATGCTGTGTTTTGAGTAAGAGCCTCTGTTTAATGCAAACTAGCGGGGTTTCGTATCCCTGTAATGTAATAAAAGACCACAAATGACTAAATTGAAACTATTTTAAAAAAAAATTAGGAAATGTAATGTCTGAATTTTTTTTTCCTATCAGCAGTTGGTCTAGATTAGAAGAAGACCGAATATATCACTAATCCATGTAATCTGAACTCCTTTCCCCCTGGGATTAACGCAAGGAGGGAAAGAGGAGTTACTTTATATAATATACATGGGTATTTAAGTTTTTGTGAGGAAGTCTTAAGTGATGTTGTTTCTTTTCCACTATTGTAATAGTAAATCTAAACTAGATTTCAAAGCACAGTTGCAGTGTAAAGCAGTGGGTAATGCTAACTAGATCATTGTACATGCATTAAAACAGGTTGACTTATAGAGAACTAGAAACAATTCCCGTCAGAGAGGGACCAATAAATTTGGCTCTCTGGGGCTAAAATAGCAAGCATATGTTTTCCTTTCCTGAGAACCATCAGCATGGTGCAGCTCTCACTGTGGCCAGAGAAAATGTCATTTCCCTAGCAGATACATACATTTATTTTAAGGAGAGACCCTCAGGGCCAGATTGAATATTGGCTTTAGTGGACCTATACTGATTTATCCTGGCTGAGATCCTGGACCTCAAAAGTCTATACATCTTTTTTTGTTTTTAATAAGATTTTGATGCAAATAGACTGAACACTTGAGCACATGCTTAACTTTAAGCACATATAGGCTATGTCTCCACTACAAGCCAAGTGTGTGATTTCCCAGCTCCCACAGATATACTCCTGCTAGCTCTCGTCTGAGCTAGCACACTAAAAATAATAGTGTAGCCAGGGTAGCACAGGCAGCAGCATGTCTAGCCACACTGAGTATGTACCCTGAGGGTGTGGGCGAGTTTGTAATCAGGGAAGATAGCCTGTGCACCTTGGCTACACTACAGTTTTTAGTGCGCTAGTTCAGAGTGAGTATGTCTGCACAAGCTGGGAATCGCACCCCAAGCTCATAGTGTAGATGTAGCCTTAGTTAGATTGTAATCTCCTTGGGACAAGGGCCATTACTTCATTGCCTGTTTGTACAGGGCCATGGTCCATGACAGGGATTAAAATTCTCAAAAATGTTTAAGTGATTTAGGACCCTAAGTCCTATTTTCAAAAGCAATTGAGGAGCATAATGAGATGTAGGGTTCCTAACTGCTTACAACACTTATGAAAATGGGCTCCTAAGTCACTTAGCGATTTTTGAAAGGTGCTACTGCAATACAGATAATAAATAATAGTAGCATAAGTAATCCAGGTGAAACTAGAAGTAGGCAGTATTTGAGACTACTCCCATTATTTAAAGTTAAGCATATGCTGAAGTGCTATCCTGGAGCAGGGCCTTAATTACGAGTAATTAGAAATAATCAGGCTTTTGTGGCTTTATATTTCAGCCAATGTATAGGGATTGGATCTTCTCCTGGAACTGTTACTACTTTAGTGCATTGTAGCGCTCACTACGGGCTCTATAACTTCTTGGTGCTGGGAACTCTCAAGAAAAATGCATGGAGCCCAAGAGCTGGGAACTCCTAAATGATGAATTAGGAATCACTCATAATTTATTTTAATTAAAATAATTAAAGGGAGGGAGGGATACCTCAGTGGTTTGAGCATTGGCCTGCTAAACCCAGGGTTGTGAGTTCAATCCTTGAGGGGGCCACCTAGGGATCTGGGGCAAAATCAGTACTTGGTCCTGCTACTGAAGGCAGGGGACTGGACTCAATGACCTTTCAAGGTCCCTTCCAGTTCTAAGGATATCTCCATTAATTTATTTATTTTATCTCAGTTCACTCTTGGTGTTAATTAAGCATTCATAGTCATGAAGGTGTTACGGCTAATTCCTTTGCTGTGTGCTGCTTTCATTCACAGTTTAATGTGTGTGTAGTACCAGGGGAATTCATGTAGTATTGCCCTTTACTTTGATCTACAAAATTCCTGGTATCATAACTTTAAATGGATAAATACTCAGAGGCACAAAGAAATCCAGTGTGTGTCTGCATTTTGTGAAGAAGGTCACTCTTGCGTCTTCCTAGTTTACAACCTTAAACTGTGTAACAGTTTTTATTTTTCCCCTTTCCTGTCTCTCATAGGCTCAGATTTAAAAAATAAATTGAAGTAGCAGATGGTTTGACATTTTAAAAAAAATTGCAGCTGTAGTTGAGTCCATGAAGAACAATCTAGCCTTTCACGTCATCAAAGGTGTATATGCACAGTGTGATTATCCGCATACAGTTGCAGGAGTGTAACTTTATTTTATTGTCCCCACAGATGAGCACCATGCCAGGACTTCCTACAAGGCCTTGCTTCTATGACATTGACCTTGATCCAGACACAGAGCAAGTTAAAGGGTTGTTTTGAGAGAGGTCTCCAAGTTCAGGTGGGTTATGTGTAACAGTGTTTAATGGGCTGTTTTCTTTCTCACTTTACAAAACTACTAATTAGTTCCAGGAGTAAGAAATTGATAGAGGTTTTGTCATTGATACATCAAGGAATCAGTATTGAGGTTTGGGAAATATTTGTTTCATTATTGCATCATATTGTATCGGTATATGGTAATGGCTGGTACTAAGTCCTCAATTGGTATAAATTGGCTTGGCCCATTGGCTTTAATGGAGCTATGTCAAACTATACCAGGTGAGTATCTGGCCTTCCACAGGGCCAATCAAAAGGGCTTTTATTTTCTGAAATCATCCCTAATAGATGTGTCTAGTCTAACCTCGCATATTGCCTCTGATGGTGATTCCCTTTCACAGCCTGTTTTTGTTGTTACATAGATTTTCCCAGTAGTTTTTCCAGAAAAAATTCTGCCCCCATCATAAACCCATTATTACTCTTCATTCTGTCCTCTTAAATAGAGACTAATTGACCCCTGTCCTCTCTATCATATGACAATATATTTGAGAGAGACAAGGTGGGTGATGTAATCTCTTTTATTGGACCAACTTCTGTTGGTGAAAGAGGGGATAAGCTTTCAGGCTCCACAGAGCTCTTCCTCAGGTGTAGGAAAGGTTATTAGCATGTCACAGCTACCTGATTACATTTCACAGACCTGAAGAAGAGCTCTGTGTAGCTCAAAAGCTTGTCTCTCTCACCAACAGAAGTTGGTCCAATAAAAGAGATTACCTCACCCACCTTGTCTGTCTCATAGCCTGGGACCAATATGGCTACAACACAGCAAACAATATATTTATTGTATGTATTTAAAGACTTTTTTTTTTCTCTCATTTGTTTTTCTGCACACTTTTCAAATCCAGGTCTTTTCATCTTTCCTGAGAAGGTGCGTTTTCCAAGCCCCTCATCCTTTTTACTCTAAACTTCCTCTAGCTGGTCCATCTTTTAAAATCAAAGTGGTTACCAAAACTGAATTCAGAACTCCAGTTGAGGCTTAGAACATGCCAAGTGGTGTAGAATAATTGCCTCTCTTTAGACATAATAACCCTGTATAAAATCAACTAATGTGGCTTTTTTGTTACTGTTACTCATTCAGTATATCATACATGGTAACTCTCAGATTCTTCACAGTGACGCTACGTTCTAGCTATTCTTTGCCTGCCCTATATTTAGGATAAATAGGTTTACTTCATTTTAATATGCCCCAAGTACCCCAAAAAAGCAAAATTAACTGTTCATTTGCCTATGCTATAAGATAGTATCCTTCAATCCGGTCAGAGCAGACTTACATTTTCCTGTGTTCTTTCTATTACAGCAAAAACTGGTTAGACTGAAAGTTAAATGATAGGTTTCGACAATTATCTTATGTACTAAGTGCCTTTGGCTATTTTACTGCTGTGTAGCTCTATGCATGGTATTTCTTGGTACATACCCTGTTATTTTGGGAGGAATTATTAACACGATAAACTAGATGGGTATTTGCTCAGAAAGTGGCATGTGATCCTCTTTGAACAATCTAAAATGACAGCAGAATCCTAAGGTAAGACCTATACACAGACGCATGTGCTTTCTTCAGTGAAGTGGTTCAACCAACATGTTTGCTACTTTTAGTCTTGTTAAAGACCATCATACCCAAAGGGCAAGAAAGAGTTTTCTTTTTGCTACATATATCTTCAAGAACAATAGTCAGAAAACAAATAAGAAACTCTCCTTCCAACTATAAAGGACTTTGCTCTGGAGTAATATACAAAGTGAAAATATTGAACTTGGTTTTTTAATCAGCTTGGGTATCTTTTGGGGTTGAAAAGGAAATGCCAGTAAATTAAACTCTAATCAGGTTCTTGAGAATCATCTGCATCCCAGCATATAATAGTAAGGCTATGAATCTATTGGGGATGTGCTGGTAATATCAACCACATGAGGAGAGAACCCTGTGAGTTTGAGTTCTGAAGACATTTTGACCATAATACCGTATGTTGAAAAATATGGGCCTAGATTTTCCAACTTAGGTACCTACAGTTAGGCACCTAATAAGTGTTCTGATTTTCCGAAGTGCTATGGATACGCTGGTCCCATTAACTCCAATGAAAGCGATGGGTGTTCAGCACCTCTGAAAAAGACTGTTACCCTATGAACTCTTTGTGCATCTTCCCTTCACTCCCAAAATGCTGAGATCTGAATAAGAAGTTCATTAGGCTTTCTAGGGACCTGGGAAAAAAAGTGGTAGAGCTAAAGACAGGGAAATAAGAGAAATGGCAGAATTTAAAACAAAAAAACCCTTCCCCCAATTTTGAGCTCTCATTTTTTTCCCACCACAAATTATATGTGCTATCATAAACTGACTTATATTAGCCTAGTCAAGAATCATTTTCCGAGTTCATTTTTCACCCATGAGAAAGGTCTCGGCACTGAAGCAGTCTGCCCCAAGGGCAGATGGACTGCACAGAGGTATGCGTGGGTGTGTTCATACGAAGACAGATACAGTAATTTTCTGTCTGCTTGATTGAAACACTTTTGTTGTGGTCATGGTGTATAATGTAAATTACAGTAATATTGTATTTTGCCAGCTAAGATGTGGCAATTGTAAAGTATTCAGAGATTAGTCCAAGAACTACAGCTGTTTCATTATAAACACACATGCCTAACTGAGAACAATTGTGCTACCATGCATTCTGTATCCCACTCAGCGCAATGCTTAACCTCATGAGGCTTTATAAGGATATTCAAGTAGGCAAAGTTTTTGCTACTAGAAACAATTCTGTGGTGTGCCTTGCTAAGACTGAGCTAAGCTTTGGACTCCATCAGTCTACCTTACTTGCCAATACTGTTAATAAAGCTGGTGATAGTTCTTACAAGATTCTGCAGAATAGTACAAACCACGATGTGTACTGTGGTGTAGCTTGGAGTTTGTATGAATTTTTAGAGTATTCTAACCAAAAAATTAATTGAAAAAAAGTCAAGGTTGAAAATGTTTTTCAATCAAATGCAGCCAACACTCAAAAGACAACTTCACACTTTCTTTGCAAAATGTACCGTGCACCATTAAAAAACATCCAAGCCTTTAAAAATCTGACAATAAGCATTCAAGGGAATCAGCTAATTCCCCACTACTATATAATTCTTCATCACTCATTATTGCCCCACCCAACCTCCACTGCTTAATGAGATACTTAACAGGGAAAAGTTGACACTTACTCCCTAAGCAGAGAATTTTTTCACTTCAAGGTCCCAGAAACAAAGACAAGATTTTCATCTCGAGGCCAAAAGACCAAAAACATCAAGACAGTTGATCACGGCCTTGGATAAACCAAGAGACTACCTACACTTGACCAGAGCTCACTACAGAGTTTCTTAGGGAGACCAGCCAGTGACATTGGGCTAGATAGAGGCAATTGTGCCAGCTGGAGGAACTAAAAGAAGAGCAAGCTGTTGGGTTATTTGTGCTCTGGATCTGAAAAGATCTGGGAAAGAGAGGCTAGAGGGATCCCACGCTATGGATGACAAGAAGCCCTTTTCACTTTGTCTTTTGGTCCAACTCTCTGAAACTAGATGTATTAGGTGTCTCCTGTATCTACCCTCCTCTTACCAGTTACCAGACTTCCATTCTTTCATTGTCCTTGACTTCTTGTGACCAGGGAAGGCCCCAGCTATCAGTCATGTTTTTGCATTTTACACTTCCTTCCAGGGCTGAGGTGAAGCAGGATGCTTTGCAGCATAAAGAACTGATACTGTGGCACTTCTGCAGCTTTTCTAAAGAGCTGTTAACCTAGGTCATCTTATGCAAGGCATTGTGAGGTGCATAAAACCCAGAAGGAAGCACAAAACAGGAGACTACAACTGCCTGATGGCAGAGAATAGAAAACTGTTTGAGAGGAGTTTTAGCCTGTATTCATTCAGACATAGTCACCTGGAAAAGATATTCTTGAAATCTCTCATTCTTTTTTCTCCTTTTGTCATTCTTTTCCCTCCCCTTTCTTTCCAAGTTTACCTTTATTCCCCTTCCAGTCTATACCAATCCTGCATTTTAGGCAGGAGGAGTTTGGAGGTCTGTAGAAGAAACTATCTTTTTGCCACAGGGAAAGGAGAAGCAAGTACATCATGTCACTACCTAGCAACATCATAAACACACAGTGTGACTGGATCTTGAAGGAACTTATCCAGTTTACCTTTTCCCAGCCATGATGGGCCTCTGATATGGGTGGGGACGGAGCATTTTCCTACACTTAAGTCCCCTTAAGAAAACAGAAGAATCTAAAATCTCCATGTATACAAATCCACATTTTTAGAATTATCCCTTGATTTTACATCCAAATATTACTGTACTGCTAACCTTTGCTGATTTTACACTCTCCTTATATTGCTACCCTGGGGAGAGATGGAGAATTAGGGATAAGAACATGTGAGGAAGAAAGATTGTTAAAGCAGGGTATGTGTGAGAAAGAGAGAGACGAACTAAACTGTAAAAACAACAAGGAGTCTGGTGGCACCTTAAAGACTAACAGATTTATTTGGGCATAAGCTTTCGTGGGTAAAAAGAAGTGAGGTTTTTACCCACGAAAGCTTATGCCCAAATAAATCTGTTAGTCTGTATCTACAAAAACAACAAGGAGTCTGGTGGCACCTTAAAGACTAACACTGCTACCCCCGATACTGAGCTAAACTGTACTTAGTCTATTATGGTCTTTCTACCTTCCCAGCTTCTGCATGTACTTGTCACGTTTGGGTCTTTTAATTGCCTGCATAACTCCTTGAGAATACATTGTAGAGTCATCTGCTGCCTTTCTTAGTGCATTGTATGCATTAATTACAGCCTGTGTAGCAAAACGTTTCCCAACACATTCCATTCCCAGTTCCCTTCTTTTGTATCTGTTATCCTCTAGAAATTTTACTCCTCAGAAGTTCAGTCATGTCCTATTCAGATTTTTAATGACTCTGGATGAAATCCTAGCCCCACTGCCTGGCAGACCTACCATTGACTTCAATGGGCCAGGGCTTCATCCTCTAAGCCCATTTTAATAACCTTTCCACATAATGATAACCACGGTGACTCTTGACTGTGCCCCTTCTGAATTTTTCCTAATTCTTCACTAGAATCCGTGTAATATGACTCCACAAATATATTTATTTAAATTTCTAAAAAGCCTACATATCCTTTCACCATGGGCTCACATCTATTTAAATAGAGGAACAGGTAACACAAAGCAAGTCAACAGCAGTCCTCACCCCTTCAACCTGTTAGATTTAACAAATACCCCATCTTCTTTATCCCTATATACAGTACCTCACACAATGGGATCCAATTACAAATTGGGGGTGGTAGATGCTACCTCATCAAAAATTATAGCACAGTACTTCACTTGTGATCCCACCAGCCGCCTTGTTACATTGCCATAACTATCTCTTGTGACAGGTTTCAGAGTAGCAGCCGTGTTAGTCTGTATCCGCAAAAAGAACAGGAGTACTTGTGGCACCTTAGAGACTAACAAATTTATTAGAGCATAAGCTTTCGTGGGCTGTAGCTTATGCTCTAATAAATTTGTTAGTCTCTAAGGTGCCACAAGTACTCCTGTTCTTTTATCTCTTGTGAGTTGTGCTTTATTCTGCTGTTGATACACTCCAGATTTCTGTTTGCTTTCCTAATTGTTGTTAGATATTGGGGTTGGGATTGTAATTTTGTATGCTCTATTTCCCCCAGATCCGTTTGCTGATGACTTTCTCCCCATATAAACGGGTTGAGATTATTCTTAATTAGGCTTCACTACTAGTGAATCATTTGTGTTTTCCTCCTGGAAAGGTGATTAAAAGTTGATTTGAAAACCACAAATGTTTATATTGTTTTAGTTTCTTGATCAGTTCTTGTTGAAAATGCATCTTGTTGGGGTTTTTTTTATCACTTTAACAAAAACGTTCCAAAATTCTATGCACCAAGTTTTAAGTCAATGGAACTCTTTATTGCAAAATGTCACCTCTTCAAGAGCCCATAGTAGTGCTGGCATGTGTGTGTGTGTGTGTGTGTGTTTTGTGTTTTACTTCCAATGGATATACAGAAAGGGTTTGTATTAAGTGGAAATACACCTCTACCCCGATATAACGCTGTCCTCAGGAGCCAAAAAATCTTACCACATTATAGGTGAAACCGCGTTATATCGAACTTGCTTTGATCCGCCGGAGTGCGCAGCCCCGTCCCTGGAGCCAGGGCCGGCTCCAGGGTTTTGGCCGCCCCAAGCAGCCCAAAAAAAAAAAAAAAGCCGCGATCGCGATCTGCGGCAGCAATTCGGCGGGAGGTCCTTCACTCCCAGGCGGAGTGAGGGACCGTCCGCCGAATTGCCGCCGAATACCTGGACGTGCTGCCCCTCTCCGGAGCGGCCGCCCCAAGCACCTGCTTGAGAAGCTGGTGCCTGGAGCGGGCCCTGCCCGGAGCTCTGCTTTACTGCGTTATATCCAAATTCATGTTATATCGGGGTAGAGGTGTATGTTATTTGTAGCACATGGTATAGTTAAATATTTGATCTAATTATGCTCAGGGTAAAAACTTCTACCATTGAAACATTACAGAGCCTCTTGTCATACCTTTTGCTTCTTTATTCCTGTTTCTTCAACCAATGAAAATTATCACTGCAATACTTTTCTTCTTTTCCAGAATTCTGAAAATACAAACTGCTACGTCACTATTTCCTGCAATAGGAGACAAGAGTGAATTTGAAATATGCCTGTTATGTGTCTCTGGAGGGATATCAGGATAGACCAAAGAGGAAAAAAATCTACTCTTCCTTCTACCCATTTTTATGACATAAAAAAAAAAAGTTTGTTACAAACTAATTTATTCTTGGTTTAGTGGAGAGAAATTTTTTGCCATGCTTACTATTGCTTGCATTTCTGAATGTTTGTTTTGTCGATAAAATGGTGTGAACAGAAAGGTGAAATTTTCCACTCCAGGATTTTGTATTCTTTATTTGAGCTGCTAACAAAAGTATTTCCCTTGTCAATGGCTGTCTAAAAAATTAACATAAACGGGATTACACGGCCTTATAAAGCCTGTTGCTCTTGAAAGAGTACAGTTCAGCTGCTGGCATTCAGGAGCTGAAACCACACACAAATTAGCTGCACATTTCTGAGTTATCAGCAAGTGTTGCTATGGGCACTGCTGGGGAAGAGCCAAATTTCAAATGAGGGGACTGTTGAAGAATAACAAACAAGACTTCTTTAATACAGAATTTGTATTTCCTCTGTGGGCAAACAGCTTTGAAAAACTTAAAACATAGTGTGTCCCATAGTCATAGGTACTTTTATCTGTCAAAGGTGCTTGTTACCAGTTCTACAGTGTTTTTGGTCTATTTTGTTCAGTATCTCGGCTATAAATCCCAAATGTCAACAAGCTTTGTTTCTTTTTAAAATCAGCTGTCTAAGGAGACAGAAGGAATGTCTGTCTTGTCAGTTTTTTGAAAAATATCAACCTCCAACCTTGTTTCCCAGTGAAGTGGGTTATTGTCATTATTCTAGAGGGTTTTTCTTGCAGTGCAAAATTGAGGGTCTGGTGTTGCATTTACAGTCAGCAGGTGGTACTGCCAGTGAAAACTGACCATTCTTTATTTGGGGGTTGCAGTATGCTATCCCCATGCACCAGCCCCCCTCTGTAGCATGTCAAAAATCCAAAATGGAGCAGTTCTTTTGACTTTCTTTGAGTGCCCATTGAATGAATCACTGCTACAGTAGGGCAAACTTTCACACACAACATATTTATCAGGTTACTTTTGAGTATTTCCTTTCTCATTGTTGCTGTTTATTTTCCAAATATGTGCCTGAAAGAAGGGTCTTCCTCCTAATGCACATGTTCCTTTGACCTGATTCATTCAGTGAACTCCTCTGCAATATTTTGGACATTCAAAACACATTATTACAACACCACCTAGTAAAATGGAGAACAGCCCCAAATGTCATGCTACTCAGATAATACATTGTACATCATCAACCAAGTCCACATAATTATCTCACTAGATGTAAGGGCCAGCTGCTAAAAATGTCTGGTGTCTTATGCAGAAATAATGCTCATATTTAACACTTGAATATGGCCTCATTTAGGTTTCCAGTAGCAAAATGTTGACACCTTTCAGTTATTTCTGGGCACAAACAAAAGTCCTGAACCTCCAAAAGTCACATTAGTGAGCTCCAGCTGCTCTGTCACCCGAGAATGCATTGCACTAGGACACCACTTCTGCCATGGAGGATCTGGCTGATAAGAACCCTAATAAACCAATGTTTTTAAATGATTTGGTTCATTTTCTCAACACTTCTCTAGTTTGATTATTACATGCAATTTATAATTTAAAAAAGAGATGAAGCCAGTTTTCTACGCTCGTATTCAAGAACTACAAGCTGGTAGGGCTTGGTTTTCAAAAAGAAAGGCGCACAATGAAAAAAACAAGCTGTCTGTGTGATGAGATGCTTATGGTGATGGGGTTGGTTGCTAAAGCAGGGTGTTGCACTTTTATGGGTCCTTGGGTATATTCAGGCACACTGTTATGGCTTTCTCCTGCTATGCTGGTTTTTCTATATAGTGTGTATCCTGTATGTAGTGAACAGGATACATATGTGTAGTCACAAAAGCAGAGCATTCTTGAAACCATGGCGCTTTCATATGAGACAGAATTTTGGGCCTCTCAAGATCATGTTTTCCATTTTTAACCATCATACTTAACATATAAAACTGAGTGTGCCTCATAGCTGAATTGGATATTCATTTAAACAAGTATTCAGCAGATTGCTGAGTAGAATCTCACGCAGTGTGCTTTTAGACCACCACAGTAACTGACTCTTCTTTCTTTGAACTTTTTTTCTGACAGCAATCCAGAATAAAAGAGGATTCTGAAAATACACCGAATATTGTATTTTCAAGCTTTTCAAAGTGCTCCTTCTCAGGAAATGCTCATGAACTGGTTCCTTCAATAAAAGAGCAACACAACAATGGGGTCCGGAGAGACAATATATCATTGTCCTTTTAAGTTAAAACAGTGAAATAATGACCAGAAATAGTTTATTTCCCAAGTGACATCCTCCAGTGGTGCTCCACCCAGCTTACTCATGTCTATATATGTTATAGGCTTGAACAATGTCTCTTTGGTCCTGTTTACATCGCCATTCCCACCATGTTTGGGGACTCCATTACATCACATGGTTCTCTAACCAGTTTTTTTAAAGAGTTTAGTCTTGCAGGGATTGAACCTTGTTTTAACTGTGTACCCTACCTGTGCCAGAGCCTTGGGCTCTAGTGAGACAGCAGCATGTACTGGGGGCACAGTTGACATAATGCTCCTTCCAAAGTGCAAGAGTGAAACATATTTTAGCTATGAGGACTACTGTGTTGTAACTTAGACCTCTAGCATGGAGTTACAGTAAAGATGGGACTCTGATGGTTCCAAGGCATTTGACGTGTTCTGTTAACAAGGTTCACGTCACAAATTTAGCTTATGCCAGGCTAGACTCTGGGCACTCTGTGATTATACCCATACCAGCTACAATGATGTATAAACAAGGCTGTTACTAGCAAGATTTGAGCCCAGTTTTCCAGACAATTGTGGGCAGAGATTTTTGGTCTGAGAAATTTTATTAAACTGTTCCCTAGGCTCAATCTACGCTATGTTTATACCTCTATTGTAGTCTAATCCCACAACTCATTTGTATTTGTCGTGTAGACAGGCTCGAACACCACCTGCGCAAAAAATATAAATCTACACTTGGGGGATTTCCTAGAGTGGTTGTCAGAAAAACATTCTGCTCCACACTGCTAGCGACAGCCATGTTCTATACATGGCTCTACTATAGCTAACTCAGTTCTGACCTCAGTGCAGTGTGGATTCGAAGCACTCCTAGTTTTGAAGCATCCACTGCTGTTGACCAGTGAACGCTGCATGAGGAATATGAGGGTCTCAGAGTGATAGGATTTAACAAACCACTCCAAACTCCCATTTTATATACACATGGGTCCCCAAAGCATGTGTTCCAGGTAAATATTTTTAATTTAGACCATACTGTCTTTCCTCCCTGAACAATATTTCTGATACTTATTTATCTTACTGCAGCACAAGAGCCAGTGAAGATAGTCAGGAGTTAATGAGGTGCGTGTGATTTCTTGACAGTCATCTGGTTAGAGAATTTTTTTTATGCTACAATGTGCTGATGTATTCATCACCAAGAAATCTTTGAGCCGTTTCAATCATCTTTCATTATTTCCCAGGTTTGCTTTTCCCTACTCAAATATCTGCAAAAATCTTTTGAACTAACCAATTTCAGCTTCTTCACCTATTTATCCTTTCAAGTTTTAGGGTGAGATGTTCTAAAGCACTCAACACTGCCCTCATTCTGGTCCCATTGACATCAGTGGGAGTTTTCCCATTGAGTGGGAGCAGTTTCCCAGACTTAAGCCATCACTGAGCTCTTCTGAAAATCCTGCCCTCAGTGTGTTATTTTTCCTTTTGTTTGCTTTATTTCAAATGCCTTCTAGTGGAAAAAAGTATTATGAGTATCATTCTTTATATAGTGCTGTAGGTGTTACTGGTGCTTTATGAACGTATAGAAAGATAAAGTCCCTCGCCTGAGGACTTTTCAAACCACATGAGGTTAGCACAGATGCTAACAGATCGTGGTTGGGGAGGAAATGTAAGAGAAAGGATTGAAGTTACAGAAGAGAAGGAAGTGAATATTGCTCATTGTAGAGAATCTAATTGTTACGAAATATTACAAGTGACCTGTGTACTATGCCTGCAAATTGCAAAGTATTGTGGAATGTAAGAAGCTTTTAAAACACACTTCACGCTGAGGTATGAGCAGTCATGAACATATTGCTATAAAAGGTTTGGAATCCTTTCACATTGCATAGTATATAGCAATATTTGTGAAGTCTGCAGCTCTTTATAAAAGCTGCAGCAGTCTCAAGAGATAAATCCAGAAAAATATCCTGGGCGGAGAGAGGAAATCAAGGAATGATATACTTTTATAGAGCCTTTTTTGGAAGATTTCGGAGGAGTTTGCAAAAGCGGTAGCCAGTAGTATTCCTAGGTTACTGGTTTGCAATATGAGGCACAGAGAAGCAACGTGATGTGCTTGGTCACAGAGTCAGCTGCAGAACTAGGAATAGAATCCAGGTACCTGACTCCCTGTTCTGGGCTGTAACCCCAGACCAGTTTTAGGACATGTTCCATAATCACAATTTTACAAAAAGACGTAAGCTATTTTTCTTTGCTTCTTATTTTTTATGTTAGGAGCTGCATGGCAACTTTTGTATTATCATTTATGTCTATAGAGCTGCTTTTTTTTGTACTCAGCTAATACTTAGTATTTGCTACTGCTGGAGTAAAAACTTGACTGCACAGAAATATGTACAAGCTACTTACTAGTTTTGTTGTATTTTAAAATCCAAAACTCTCAGTGGTGTGTACATTTAAAAAAAAATAAAGTATATACCTCCTTATGGATACCAATGAACAATTTGCAGAAGTGTTTTTTATCCCCTGACAACCTGTGGAACTCATTGCCAGAGGGGATGCTGGGAAGACCAAAGGTATAACTGGGTTCCAAAAAGAATTAGATAAGCTCCTGGATGGTAAGTCCCTCAATGGCTATTAGCCAAGTGGTCAGGGATGCAACCAAGTTGCAAAACCAGCTTTTCCTTTCCTGACCCTTTTTCTTGAAGATGATGTAAGCAGAGTCTGAATGAGCTCTCCCTGACATCTAATGATGAGCTGTGGAAGAGGACTTCATTAGCTAATCTCATTTGAATGGGCACACACCCCTGCCTAGGTGCTCAGCATGAAGGGATTGCTTGCCCAAATGGTCACTTTTGGCTGGTGTGGGATCCCCAGTCTCCTTGGTTTTGGGGCAGGCGTAATAAAGGGAATTAAGGGCAGCATTACTCAAGGACACAAGAACTGTACTTGGCATGTCCCACTTGAGGGACTCACCCACAACTAAAGGGCACTCACTAGGCAGGGGACATGGGTTCCAAAGCCAAGTGAGTAGAGAGAGGGTGGGGACAGGTTCTAGTGCCTGGTGGTGTGGGCCCTGCCGAAGGGTCCCAGACACCATTTGACCCTTTCTCTCTCTCTCGCTCTGTCCAATGTGTAATAACAGAGCTAATTTAGACTCAATTGAGAGTCTTGTTACTTGCTGCAGAGCTGAAATGACTGATACCTAGGTCTAAGTATGACCTGCTTTGGGACAGTGCCTCTGATGTAAGAAACTGCCCAGTGTGCACTAGCAGTGAGGCTCCCCCACTAACAGCTGACATCACTGAGAGCTGAAATCACTGATAGCTGTGTTAAATGGTGGGCCCTGAAGACATTTTGGTGAGAGGCCAGCAAGGTGGTTGGCGGAGAGGTGTAGTGAGTGGCCAGCGAGTGAGTGCCCGAGCAGCAGAGCAAGAAAGGTGCCTCCTTACCCCACCTCCACCCAGGGCGGGAGGTGAACTCTGCAGATGCACCTCTGAACTCTGAGGCTGCACAGACCAAGGACAGCAGCTCTGAGCGGGGAGCAGAGAAGGGATGGGCATGTGAAAGTGGCTTTTGGGTTGCTGGACCTGAGTGGAAAAGGACTCTGCCCAACTTACTTGGGGGTGGGTCATTTGCTCATGGTTTGTTTG